TAAACATTTTTACACAATAACTACTACGGTGCGTACTTTTATATATAGACTATAAACACTACCGTATGTATTAATTTACGCTGATATAAAAATGTAAGCATATGTGGGTATAGGTAAGCGCTTATATTTTCGCTTAGTTTTTCTTGAATCGGAGAACACGTACGTAAACAAAATAATGCAGCAGATTCGTGACCCCATTGTTGGCAAATAATAACAAAGATGAGCAGCATTCAAACGCTACGAGTACCGGTAGTTACAGTGGCACCATAAAAATTGTTATAACTACAAAGTTGAAGTCGGCAAGAAGGGTTTCAACTTTACTAGTTGTGGTTTAGTGACCATTTGACACGTGATAATGACCAATAAAAATGTGAGTGTGATGAAAATCAATAAAGTTGCCCCTAAAAAATAAATTCTAAACACCTTATGACTTATTAACCACACCAATATTTAACGAATAGCAAATGGAATTCTGGGGTTGAGCGAAGTTTAAAAGACGCACGTCAATTTTTACATTGCAAATGTAAGGAGAAAGCCAGAAGAAATATTTATAACGTTACAAACGATAAAATATATATTTGTTTGCACTAATTGCGACGTTGTGTTGCTACCAATTAAACCTAAGTATACCTCTTCCTTTGCTGCTTTTAAAATTACAAGCTAGCAATTTTTTCTTTTTTCATTTGAGATATTTTTTTGCATAGGCACAAAATTATAAATTGAAATTTAATCCTGATTTCAGGTGAAAGTAAATATGTAAACAGCCTTCTGGGTGTCACACAACTTGCCTTCTTCGAAATATTCTGAACCTGAAGGATTCTGTCGATGTGTTTGCTTTAAAATCTGTGACAGTTATAAACACTCCAATGTAGAGCATATAAGCTTCTGACACTTTTCCAATATGGATTAAGTACTCTTGGCACGTAAAAGAGTTTATGACTATAATATTTATATTGCTTGAAATATCATATGCAAAACTTGTGTTTGAGTAGATGCTCTAAATTTGCTTTTCATTTAGTTGTTTATTTGGTTCAATACTTTAAAAGAGCACTTTTTTGTTGAACAGCCATAACATCTATACTAACCTATGTTTTTTTTTGTTGTTTTAAGGTGCGTAGGCTTCTTATTGAGTAAGTTAGTTGACAGTTTATTAAAAGTTTTAGGGCAACCAAAACGTTAAACTCAGTTGTTAATATGTGAATTAATTACTGCGCAATTTCCTAGAGTTTTCAAGTGCTCGTGTAAACGAGATCAAATGTCAACACACTGCTTCCATTAGCAGCATCTGCTCAGTTTTAATTTTGTACCATGTTTAACAATCCTGTTGCCTTTCACTTAGCTGATGTTGTCATTTTGGCGGATGCTCATAATTTCGCTCTTTCTGCTTGAGTTACGCATTAAAGTAGTTGCATGCATGATTAACTAGAGTGGTGGCATTAATTGAAAGTCGTCAAAAGCATGATCTGCAACAACATTTTTACATATACATATGTTTATGTATATAAGGGTGGGTAAAAAAAAGACAATGTTTTTTCGCTTCGTATTTTGAAAAAATTGGTTGATAGACTCTAAGAAAGGTTGTCCCAGTAAGTGTCTTAGTTGCAACGAGAAAGACCTCCGCGTAACGTTTTTCTATTTGTTTCTTATTATCAGATTTGGAATTTAATTATTTATAATACAGAAGAGATTGCATAATAAAATATGTGCACTAAAATATTGGTTAACACATTAAATTAAGAAAAATATGTGTTGCTAATTGAAAATATGTAATATTTATCCATGATTGAAATCATTTCAAAACACTTTTTTTTTATTCGTTTTATAAACTGTATTAAAATAGCTGGAAACTTAGGAATTGTTCTATCATCTTAGTACATATCAAAGATAAACTAATGAATTTGTTGTCTGTAGAATCTTATATTAAACTCATAATATCCTACCCACTATTTCTATCAATCCACTACTTCAAACTCTGCTTGTTTATTGTTGCGTAATGTCCTTTTTAATTAACGGCACTTTATATCTTATAGTGTCCTTAGGCCTAATAATCAAAGGTTGCGTGGAAAGATTCAGTTAAACTTTATACATGGTGTTCATGTAAGTTTACCGTTACATAATTAAGTTTGTAATGTAAAAATTGACAACATTCAACAATTCGCAAGAGCAACGCAAAGCGTACGATTGGATGTAAGTTGTACTGAGCCTGAGGCAACTAGTAAAGAAAATGCAAGTTGTAAGCCTTCCACTACCGCGAAGCCCATCAAATCAGTTTTATGGCCCATCTTTGTTGATTTGATGACCAAAGTTAGGAAACGACACTGCTACACACCGTTTGCTGGTCTCACATAAACTTTAATAAGTGCGTATTGCACTTATTCTTGATTGTTATTTTTCGAGAGAACCTTTTCAATTTTTTGGTGCGTATAATTTTTGTGACCCGTATCTTTAACCTTTCAATCTGTCATGTTACCGCCAATTCTTGGTTTGACGGGGATGTCTTTGTTGGTATTTTACTAAATTTTGCTGCTTTCTCTTACCGTTGGAAATATTACCAGTTGTTGCAAGTGGTGATTATATATTTAATTTTACGCTGCCTTTGCAGTGAGTTTTTGTGTAATAGATGGGCAACAAATTGTGACATTTTTGCATTTTTGACTTTAAAAACAATATATATATGTTTATATTGTGTAATATCCTTAACAAGATTTTGCAAAATAATCTGAGCGTAAACGAAATGAGGAAGCTTTGTACATATCCGCAGTGTACCTCATTAATTTGTATATTTGTAATTTTTTTTTGGTGTAAATTACATTAATAATAATGTACATTTTCTTCTTCATGAGTGCAACGGAGCAACAGGAAAAAGTACAAACAAGGAATTGTTTTTGACCGATCATTTTGTATGGCAGCTATATCTTATAAGGGTCCGATAACGGCAATTCCAAGTAATGAGCAGTTTCTTGGAAAAAAAAGAAGAAAGCAATTTGTTTATATCAATGACCCCTTTGTATACATTTTATGAGGTCAATAACCCGTTTGTTTATATTAAGTCAAGTCCACAACCTTTCTTTACATATAGCCAAGTCAACAATCTTTGTTTACATTTTATGAGGTCAATGACCCTTTTGTGCACATTTACCCAGATAAAAAACCTTCGTTTTCATTTGAGGTCAGTGATCCTTTTGAAGAAAGAAAAAGTAGTGAACATTTTAGTGAAATAAATATTTTTCTAATATTTTAAATTGCACAATAATCTCCTCGTGACTTTAAGCTAAGCACAGCTAGAAGTGACGAAATTTTCTACTTACACATATAAGCTGTAGATCACAGGTTTTTTATCTTCACTTATTCTATTAAAAAGTAGCATAGAATATACATTTAGTTTTGAAAAAAAATGCAAGCAACTAGTTTGTACTTTTAACCGTTGCTTAGTTTTCTTAAACTCGAAGACACTACTGTATCCAAACTTAACACAGAAAACAGGCCACGCCTCAGATGTTTCAAACATTACAACATGGTTGCTTTAAAATTGCTTACAACATAAACTTGCTCTAAAAATCGTGACACACAAGGTTTCTTTTAGAAAGAAAACGCAACGTTATTAACACTGTTAAAGCCTAAAATGCACAAGCAAATTATTACCATTTTCACAAAAGTGCAAGCCATAATCGCACAGCCACATAATTTACACGAGATTCATGTTGTCGGCACAGTAAGAAAAACTCACCAAAGGATTGTTCTTTAGGACATCAAAGCATCTGGTTCTTCTATATTTGGATACTTTGTTGTACAGCGACTTAACAACTTTTGGGTCACATGAAAGGTTACAAGTATTTAATCCCAAAACACAATTTATACCAGACTCTAAATGAATCATTATTACTCATTTCCTGTCGCCTCAAGATTCCTTTTGATAAGCTTCTGCAAAAATCATTAAATCTTCAGTTGTGGCCTGCTTACTTTATTAACTTTGTTTGCTAGTTCATTTCATCGAAGCTTAATTTTTAATATCGTCGCCTTTGGCTGGCCAACTTTTGGTTCTCACTTCTTTACTTTTTTTTATTCTTTTGCTATTCACGACCGCAAAGTAAATGAATTGGAATAAGTAGTCGATGAAAAAAATTGTTGGAAAGATAAGGATAGAAGGAGCACTAGTTGATAAAAAGCGTTCACGCATAAAAAAGTAGATTGAATGGCATGAGTAGGGACTACTTACTATACTTTACCTTACTATTATAAAGCGTGCGTTTGTATTTATTCAAATTAAAGTCGGCATATTTTCATATTCTTAAAAACCATAAAAATATTCTAGCCCTTTTTAATACTTTTAAAGCTTTTAGAACTAAACTTTGAACTTATATTTTATTCAACACGCTCACTTTGGCTTATTGTGTTTAGAACCACCGTTCCCATTACATCGCCTGTTTGTAATTTAATTGTCACCTTATTTATTATTATCTCTCACGCTTGTTTTATGGCAGTGCGTATAATAAACGCTTAGTTTTTGTTTACCTACCATTCACATTTTGTCCATTATGCGATCATTTTATTATACTTATCTGTTGTTCTTATATTTTATGCTTCGCTTTAATGTTGCGTATACGTCTAGTGGCCACCCCTCGTTAATGTCTTGCAGCTGAACTTATCTAAATAGTAATAGCAACGAGAACGAGGGGAGATTAGCAAGACAAATGCGCAAGATGTGAAATTTTCTCAAGGAAAATTCACAAACCGTTAGCATATCAGAAGAAGATTAAAGGAAATAAGTATGGCCTTCTAATTAATCAAACTATTGCTTTAACTGACGCGATATTTACTGAGTCCTCCTTTCATCGCGGTTAAAAATGAATGAAAAAAGTGCAATGTGAAATTTGAACTTATCAGATTGGATTTAACGGCTAGACGTACACAAACAAGAACACACATGAAAACATATATTTTATCTTTGTAGCTTAAAGTATATGTCTGTACTAAATATTTGTATGTATGTCGCAAGTACGCACAGCTCAACACTCAAATTGCTTTGAGCGACAAGACAACCACTGCCTATGAACAACACACACCATTAACTCTCTTTTATAGAAAAGATAAGTGCATATGTTTATTAGTTGACGTCAGTACGAAGAACTCATCTGTAAACCCCCTTTTTCCTTATTTTAATATTGTTGTTGAATAATTCTTTTGTTTATGCTGTTTTCATCTTCTTATTTTCGCTATATTGTTTTATTATTGTTATTGCACTTCAAAGATGCTTTTCTGAGCGACAAAGCAACATTTTTCATCTCACATATTTAAAAATTTAATTTTGGCGATTATTTACAAAGAAAATAAGGTTTTTGTTTTTTATTCTTTATTAACACCGTTTTATTTTATTTTGGTATCTGTTATGCTATGATAGCTGGCAGTGCTATTGTTTTTTTGAGCTACTTTGTCTGCTATGATTGCTGTTGTTGTTGTTACGCGACCAGCTGCACTGTTTGCCGTTTGAGTATTGGCTGTATAATGAATGATGCGGTAAATTTGCTCCCAGCTGTAAACAAAACAACAATAAAGGTAGTTCGAAGGTCGGTAAATATTCTATAGAGTATATATATATGTATACACATTTTCAGACATACGCTTTTATGTTGTTATGTATGTGAGTAGTATTCACAAGTATAAACGTTAGATAGCCCTCCAATGCATTTATCTAATATAATATTAATTAAATATTTGCTCAATAATATTTTTTTTTTAATTTGTAGACGAATAAAATTAATTTTTTTTTCGTATAAAAAATGAAATATTTTATTCAAACTTTTTATTTTACATTCAAAACTCGGTCATTACGACGTCATTGCCGACAGTCCCTCGAGAAAAGGTTGATTCCACGTTGACAACAGAATCATCAAAAGTAAAAAGAAAAAAATAGATTTTTAGAATTAAGACCATTAACTAGGTTTTGGAATGGGAAAAACCAAATAAAGTGAAAATTGTATTTTTGGCAGAAACTTACAAATTTTGATGAGAATTTCTTGACTTTTTTGTGTTTTAAATAGTTGTAATTGAACAAAAAAAAAGGAAATTCTCCGGTAAGACCTTGTAAATTATATCTCAAAAACCCGTGTAAAAATTCATTAAGATCTGTTGAGTAGTTCGAGAGAAATCTTGACAACAGAAAACGCTTTTAAAGTTTTAATTGAATATATAGCTGATATCGAGGCGCAGCATTTCAAAGCTGTATCTCCAAAACTATTACCGGTACCGGAATAAAATATGACTTAGAATTTTTTTTTGAAGTCGTGAAACCTATTAGGGGTTACCTTAGGAAATATAAAAAACTTTCTACCCCACCTTTTAATGTTTCATGAAATTCCAGCAATTTTCCGTGTATTGAATTGAATGAAATTCTTCCTACATTTTAAGCAATATTCTTTTCTTTATGTTAATAAAAATAGAGAAATTACTAGGCTGATTCAAAAAAAAAAAAATTTAATTTTTTTTTCGAAATCCTCACGTAAAAATTTTTGTGGAGATGTAAAAAGACGCCTGTGAGCCCTTAATATTAATATTAAGAGGTCGCGCGGCGCAGATTTCTATTTTCCATTTAAATAACACGGAAAACATTTTTCTTTAATTTTGGAATTTTGCAACTCTGAACCAAATTATATTCTTATAGGAAATTTGACAGTCTACAAAAAAGTCCTTAGATAAATTATTATTTTTTTAATAAATTATATTTTTTTATTTCCCATTAAAAAAATTGTATCGTAAATCGATTGCGATAGCAGCTTTCTTATTTTCACCCATTATATGGATGTTGTATAATCCCACCAAGCCTTTACCTACAATTTATTGTTTGATTTCCATTATACCTGGTACATGCACATTGGAGGCGGCCTTTACCTACTTACCTGCCTCTCTGACTGCTTGTAACAGTAAACACTGTAACAACAATAATGTTTTACACGCAGTAGCTACAGACAATGTCCGGTGAACAGAGATAATTTGGAGCTTTTCCGGGAATTGTGTTGGAATTTCAGTCATGGGAGTGTTGAGGACGCGTTTGAAAAAAATGTATTATACACAAATTAGTGTGGGTGTGTTGTCTACTAACTCAGAGCTTCTGTTGGCTTTAATATTCGTGTCAGCAGCAGTTGTCAAATTAGTAGTCCTACAAGCTTTACTACAATGTTAGATACATTATAAATAATTTTCAATTAATTGCTCTAAAATATTCTAAAGAATTCTGCTTAACATTTATTGTGCATACTTGTTAGTATTACAATACAATACAATACAAAAACTATTTATGTGACTCAACGGTATACTTTTCCGGCATTTGACATAAATAAGTCCACGGATCTTACGTATTGTTAGCAATTTATCATTTCTATTTAAAGTTTTATTTTCTCATTCTCTAATTATTTTTAGCATTTTAATTTCAGGTTTTGTTTCTTGAACCGTTCATGAGCGGATGGTTATGTCAATTGCCTTCGACAATTTTGATTTCGGATACATATATGCACACACGTACTCTACTTTCCTTTTTAAAATATTTTGAGCTCAAAATTAGTAACTTTATTTTCATTCAGGTAATTGCTGTAATAAAATATTTTTAGTGAGTTTCAGACCTTTTTATAACCTTAATTAAAATATACAATACATAAATAGCTGAAAAAGGGAAAGTACACAATCGATTTTTCTTCGCTAGATTTAAGCAGGACAGGAAAGTACAACGCAAGTTGAACAATTCTAAGAATTCTAAATATAAATTTTCTAGTACAGCCATGAAGGCACAGTACATATTTTTGTGGTTTCCTTATAATAATCATGGGTACAAAACTACACACGTCCTTGCACAACTTATTGTAATGCATTGACATGTTTTAGCAAGAAGCCAGTCTATCGCTGACATTCCGAGGCGAGTAAATTAATGAAGGAAAAATGTAATGGTTGATTGAGTTAAGAATCTTCTTGAGTAATTTTAGCTTATGTGCGTATAAAATAGTGTATAAACTCATTGCATTTTTGCTTACTTTGATTCTGCCGATGCTTGGAGCCGGAATACGCTTCCATAGTGGAAGGTTCAAGCATCTATGAAGATAAGACCAAATTTAGAAGTGAAACGAGGCATATATAATATCGTATGTTAACTATAGTAAGTTCCAGGAATTTATCGGCTTGAACATTGTGAAGTTTACGAACATATATGCATTTATATATATGCATAAATAATACCACATATTTCCATGAAGAATTCTGATCACTCACAGCTTAACGATTGGGTGCAGTGGAGCTCAAGTAATTTACTTTATTAAGTGTTGCAATCGTTTTCGACAAAAACTAACTGCAATGAGAACGTTTATACTTTTACTTGCCTCACTGCTGGCAGATAAGCTATAGATAAATTTTCTGTGAATTGCGCCATCAGCACAAAATTTTGCGAATAATGTGTGAATAATAAAACGATGTTATCAGTAAGCTCAATTCACAAAAGTAAATATACGTACATATGTAGCTAAATACTTATATGCTGTGCTTTCAAATGGTATTTGTCCAAATGTTCTTGAATAAGTTGAGAGTGCTCATAAAATGTTTTTGCCAGAGAACATCCAATGCTCGAAGTAGCCAATTGAGCAAATATACTTATTTCCAATGAAGAATTTAGTAAAAAGAAGAATATTTATTTTCGTATTTTTTGGTGCTGTCAGTTAAAGTGTGTAAGAATTAATAAAGCATTTCTTCCTTCTTCCTTTTTTACAAAAATCTCTTTAAGTATTTATCAATACGTTCGACTTAAGAGCACCGAGAAGTAGTATAAGCGAAGCGGGGAGTCTGTGCTCGATCATGGTTCTGCGCAACAGCAACATGTGGTTTTATATCGGTTGTCATTAGTCGGTAACTATTCTGGGCATTCTTAATACTATAGAATATAAATTGAAAATAAAAAGTTCGATATTTCTTTAGGTAAGAGTAAAATAAATGATAGAGAATATACTAAATATATATATAATATATTATTCTTATTTAATTATTAAGCTGTACCTAAAGGAAAAATGCGGAGAAACGCAACAGAAATTTAACAACCATAACACTGATGAGGCTTAATATTTAAAATGCATAATAACGATCGTGTGGCATCCGAAACTCCTTAACCCAAAAACCTTCATATTTTATGTTTAATTATAAGAAAATAAATAAATACCTATATAATATTTACAAAAAGAAAAAGAAAAAATAAAACAACTTAATATGGAACATACATATATATATAAGTAAAATAGCCGTAATAAATATAAAATTGAAATAAATATGCAGTACTAAATAAGAAAATTGGGTAAAAGGAGAGTATTGTTAACAACGGAGAAATGTGGAAATAAAAACCACAAACACCAAAAATTGTTTCGATTAAAATCGATTATATTTATATTATTGGTAGGGGCTTTTTCATTTAGAAGTATATACTTGTATTAATATTAATTTTATTATAAATATTAAACTTAAAATTCTGGCCTTATAAACAATATCTCTAGAAGTTTCAAATAAAAACAAAACCTCAAGAGCATTTTTCGAAAGTTACGTAAAAATTTAATCTGGTCACCCCAGACGCAGTGAGGCGCTCTTTCGCTGCAGTAAAAATGAACTATTCCTACTAAGCGCAAAAAGCTGGCCACCGCGAAAAAATTAATTTTTCTGTTGGCTATCCCAAAGGCGCAAATTAAGTGAAAACTGTTTTATCGTCAGGCGCAGGATAACCGCAAGTATATGCAACTGGCACGTTTACAGGTATTACTTTGTTAAAATATAACCGATTTCAATGTGTCAATGTCAATTACAACTGTTGATTCCCGGGCGCAAATTTTAAGGAGACCATTAGCCACGTAGTTTAGTTATATATTATCATAAGTGTAATAAAAATGCAACTTAAATATAAATTCTTTAAGCCCTCAGAATATCGTGCGCTGAGCAAAAAAATCCTGTAGGTATAAGATTATACTAATATAAATCTTGGAAGCTCTTCGTACTGTATATAACACCTACATAATCAGTTTGAAAACTAGCAAGTGTATTTGACAGGAATATTCAATGAAATATTTTCCCACCACTTTAAAGTTCACTAAATAGTCGAATATTATTTATTTTTACGCACTTCGACAACCAAATTGCATTTACACGCGTGGTATTTTATCAACGACCTTTATCCGCTGTATGATAAATATATTTGCCATTGAACTTTTTATGGCCAATTTACGTCAAAATTTATTAATTGAAATATGTACATTAACCAGAACTCCAGAACAGGAGACAATCCTATATAACGAGATAAAATATAAAATAAATAAAATAAATTTTAATAATATATACATATGTAGATACGAGATACAAGAATAATATAAAGTATTTGATTATTAGTTACTGATATGAGCAATATCAACATAAACTGAGGCTGTAAATAAATTAAATCAACAAAATGAATAAAGTAAATTGTTTGCAAATGAACACACAAAATTTAATAAGTAATATTCGCCAATACTAAATTCATGAGAACGAAACTGGTTTGCATATCTAAAAATAAATAACTCCAAATAAATAATGCTTCTTAATGGACCTAAAATATTGATGCTCACATTAAAGTAATTACACATTTTGCTATAAAAGAATTGTATTCAATATGTTCAATAGAAAATACCAATTTAGTTAAACTTAAACCAGCTTTTTGTGAAATGCGGGAGCGCAAATTGACATTCCATACAAATATCACTTTAATCTTCTTGATACCATCTTGATAGTAAGTGAAAGCAATGTATCAGAAAGCAATAGCTAATTACTTGATGAATGACATCTAAATAGCCTTTTCTTTCTTTTTTTAAGGCCCATAACTCAGCGAATTGCTTCGAAAACTAGCAAGAACGATAAATTGGTATTTATGTATTTGACATTCTTTGTTGTTGCAGCGAAAATATACTGCATTATTTTAAGCTTTGCGCGTTTGTGAGTAAAAATTAGTACTTTCGTTAAGCTAATAACAAAACTAATTGCTTATTAAGTAATTTACCGCCTTAGCTTTATCCTTAAATGAAATATTAATCTAACACTCTTCCGGCAAGCAAAGTGTCGAGTGCATCTCTTAAATAAAATTAATTTTCGTTAAAGTCATCAAACTATCTGAAGTAGCTTAAAACTAATATAAACCTACATACATTCTCTTATGTTAGCAAGTAGATACATAACTCTAATTTATATCTCTATAATCGGTAATAAACGAGCTGAGTTGAGTTATGTGACATTGCACCACTAGAGCATTTACCATACAACAAAAAAAAAAAGATCGGAATCAAGTGCTTGTATGGAAAGCTTTTTCATGTGACGAGATATAATATTTTTAAGATTTTTGGCATGGGTTATTGTTCAAGACAACGAATCACTGTAGCATATATCTGCCGTATAAGCTGACTTCCCAAAATTAAGTTCTTGCGAGGAATCTTTGATATTTGTGAGTATTATTATAGCTTATGTTGCTCAAAATTGCGTTTTTTGGAGTTACCTGAAATCGAGTGTCGCTGGTAAAACCAGTCCCCATGGCAATATGAAATTGAATCATTCGAATTGAGGGTTAATTTTTGCTATATTCTACTACCATGTTTCTTGCTCTACTATATGTTAACCTTGTACGAGTATTTTATATGTCCAAATACCATCACCGTGTGGTTGCACAATTTCTGTGTATTTTTGCTTAAGCTTCTCAGTTTTGTAAGCAGTAAAACTTTATTTTTCAATTTTATGATATTAATTATGAAAGAAGAAACTTTAATTACATTTCCTAGTTTTGGAGAAATTCCAAAATGTTAAAAAAAAAATGTTTCTACTTATGAAGTTGAAATTGAGTTTTATTGAGAAAATATTTAAAACATTTTTATACAAAAGTAAACTAAAAACTTCAAACTTAGTAAATCTCATAAGTTTATTTGAGCTTGTGGAGAAAAATACAAGCAGTATACATGTACAAAAATTCCATCTTCATATACAACACACACATCTAAATTTTAGAACTGCTAGAAATCAAACTAGTTAAGTTTTTTCCCTATATATACTTGTACATGTATTTACTTAGAAACAGTATTGACTTTTTTCGGAAGCATCAAAACTGCATAAAAAATATGGCAAATACGCCACGGACTGAACGGAAAACATATGAATATATACCGACTATGCATACATACCAAACATCTTGTTTGTTAACAAAATATTCATGTTTTCGTTGCATAGTATAAATATTTGCAAGCATACATATGTACTGACACGATATTTTTGTTATGCAACCTCATAAATGAACCCTGTGCAAAAATACAGTATATATGCTAGAATAAGATTGTCAATCTAAACTTTTTTTAAGTTTTTAAAATCATGGTATCATGTTTTGCTAATGTGTCACTATTGTCAAGAATTTTTAGAATTTTTGAGAACAATTTCATAAAGCTAGCTAAAGTTCAACCTTCTGGATCAGTATAGATTGGATTTCGTAATATTCCAATGAACGTCTTATGGTTAAATGAAACAAAAAACAAGAAAAACTGTTAACTTTGGTTGCATCAAAGCTATAATAACCTTCATAAATACAAAGGCTGCTTACAAGAACTTGATTCCGATCGTTCAATTTGTATGGCAGCTATATGATATAGTGATCTGATTTGAACATTTTCTGCAGAAAATACATTGTTGCCTTAAACAATAACTCGTGCCTAATTTCGTGAAGATATTTTGTCAAATAAAAAATTTTCCCATACAATTACTTGGTTCCGATTGTTCAGTTTGTATAGCAGCTATATGCTATAGTGATCCCAGCTATATGCTATAGTGATCCGATCTAAAAAATTTCTTCGGAGATTACATTGTTGTCTTTGAAAATAACTCAAGCCAAATTTCGTGAAGATATCACGTCAAATAAAAAATGTTCCCATACAATTACTTGATTCCGATTATTCAGTTTGTATGGCAGCTATATTCTATAGTGGCTAAATCAAATCAGCTCATCGTTATGTATATATTTTATAGGGTCTTCGAAGCTTCCTTTTGTGTGTTACAAACTTCGTGGCAAACTTAATACATCCTGTTCAGGGTATAATAAATCTGTAACCAAAACCTCTCTCAAGTATTGGAGCACGACTTCCAATTAAATGCAGGTTTTGTTGCTTAGCTGTCCAATACAACGGGTTTTGTAGCCTTAATGGCGGGTTGTGTGCTCATCGATGACATATGTCTAATAAAAATGTTTAACTGAAGCCAGGAAGCATATGCGAAGTTTCGAAAATAGTATTTTACGACATTTCCTTAACACGTACTATCTTGAAATTCTCGGTAAAAAGATATATTATGGTATTCATATAGAATATAATATAGAAACAGGGACTTATATTAGAAAAGCACAAGTGTATCTACAGCGCTATATAATACTTGTAATATACATGTAGTTACTGGATCTATTGGTAGTTTTTGTTCAGTCCGAGCAGTTTTGGGGAGCAGATGCCAGATGGTTCGTTGATTAGGCAACATAAATATTTCAACCGTACGTATATTATTTCCTTTGTGGTCTAGATTAAGTTTTCGCGGCAGAACTTTCATTGACGACTGTGAATCAAATGAATAATTTTGCTGTGGCAGAGAGACTTGGGCCTTCAATTTTGTTCACCTCACTTCCTTTGTCACCTTCCGGTAACATTTTGGTGATTTTCAATTGTTTTAATTAAAAAAAATGTAATATATGGTCTCTTTTGAGCCTTGAGTTGAGTAAGAAGCAGAGTTTTAGAAAATTCCCCCACACACGCAAACACCCGTACAAGGTTCTCGTATTGTTATGTTGGCATTAATATCACTCATACGCCATGTCGAACTGCTAGCCACATGCGCTACGTATGTGATTTATTGATTGATTTTATTCAATTTCATTGTATGTTCCTTCTTCTAAGTTAAATCTAAGCTCGAAGTAATATTGCGTTTGAAACGAGGACAAGTCAAACGAAACTTCGGAAAATTTTCATATTTATTATGAGCACTTTTTGAGGGTTTTGCACTATGTATTTACATAAGGGTCCAAGTAGTTGTACATGTTTGTGTGTCCTTGAAAGTCTTTTGCTACAACCAGCCATTGTTGAAATGTAAAATATACATGTATATTTGTAGGTATTCTTGCACATGGCTTTTTCTCTCTCTGTAAGTCAATATCTCGTTCCAGTTCTTTGTTGTGTTCTACACGTTTTCTAGTTACGAGTCATATTTCAATTGTATCATCATCTGGTTTATTTGATCTTATTATTAAAATTGGTACAAATACGTTATAAAAATAGCTTATATCTATAGCAAAGATGTGCGTATTAATATAAATTGAGTATTCGAATATCCTAACATAAATATGTTAGTTATTGTATATATACTACTATACTATATATTAAGATGCAACTATTACAAAATTGTATGCAAATGTAAGTAAAAATTAAATGCAAGATGATAGTTTTTATAAAGATTAGGTTAACAACCCTGGCCACATTTAAAAGTACACTAGACACGATAAAAATAGTGACGTCATGGTAGGTGAATTTACTTTGAACATTGTCTTGTAAGTATTTAATATTCTAGGGAAGAAACTTTTATTTTCTTACACAGACTCATTCCATGCATGTGAACTCCTATTGGCCAAAGTTTCAGTTATTATCTAATTGTAAACTGTTTACCAAAAAATTTTCCTCAAGGTGTTCTGTAAAAAAAATTTATGTATTGAAATTATACTGAACTTACATATATTGGTAGGTAACATATGTCAAACGCTAACATAACCATTCGTAACACACGCTGTTAGCCCTTTCTGTAAAAGATAGAGAGAAAATAATATTTACTTAATAGGAATACCTGAACAAATTTTGAGATCTACAAGACTTAAAGAAAATTAAAGGGCACTAAGTAGATTTATTGTGCTGAGCTCAAGCCAATTATTGGTGTAGTCGGAAGTCATTAAAAGCTGGTCTGGAGACCGTAAAGCATTTATTAGGGGATTACTTCAAAATAAGATAAATGTGGACTGGAGTTATTGTAGTTGGTTATGAGATATATTCAAATGCTTTCGAAGTTAACTAAAGTGAGTCAGCTAAATGCAAAATTGTAAATGGCCACGTGTTCAACAACAATTTGTTCAAGATTTAAGTACATTGCAGTCCTGCGCATAATTAGCACGGACACAAAGCATTACCAGTCCGCTGATTGCTGAATGCTGAATGATCAGCATAATTGTGTCCTCCTTTTAGCATTGCTTGCATTTCACGCTAGCGTAGGGAATGTAAATGTAAAATTGAAACATCCAAATTATCCATATATGTATGTATATATGTATCATATGGCGTAATGCTATATCCCGTTGACCAAATATATATTTAAGAAAGAATTCAATAAAGAAGCGACCTATTCCGTGACAGACTGGTGTAAGATCAAGATGACCCCTGTTATTTGGTGGAAATTAACACAACATTTATACAATATTAAAAACGTTTTTTCGAAAAGTTTTTATTGTCTAAACATTAAGTATTTATTTTGTTTTTTCCAACCCTTTTGTCGTTATTCTCATTATTTCACATTTAAGATTTTTTCTACAATACTTTTTTCATTCCGTTAACTATTGTTTTTTTATCACTGCTTTCCACATTCCTTTACTGTAATCCTTTGTGTTTTATATTGCTACTTTTATTTCTTTTTACTAGATATGTCTTTGTTTCTTCATTGTTTTCATTGCAATTTTGTTATTTTTTCGTTGCTTTTTTTTTCTTCAGTTCGTTTGTGTTTTTTTTTCGTACAATCTGATTTCCCTTTGTATACCTTTTAAGTTCACGAACTTTGGCAGTAACTTTAATATGGACACTCAAAATATATAAGTTTGAATACTTCTAGAAGCTTTCAGCATTTACTATTCTATACTATTTCTGCTTTTTAATCAGCGCACTTGAGTAATAAAAACTTACCTTAAATTTATTGTAATACTTTTTCAGTTTGTAAAATAATCTCTACTGACACCGTTGTTTCGAAAGTAACCATTCGCACTTAAACTACGAATATATACAATAAATATTAAGAGCTGTGCAAATGGAAGATTGACCACACATTTTTCGTTCAGTTCAAACAGAGCAGATAAACTCAACACGAAAGGCGAATGATTCCAACAATTCTATAATTAAATTTTCCGTTGCATACATGATATCGTTGGAATGACAGAATTGAACGGAGACGTGTAATAATGAGTTTACGCACGTTTCACCTCAACGTCAGCTTATCGCTGAAATTTCGACGCAAGCAAGTAAATGAATGAAAAGCGAAACGAATGATTGAACGAGTTAAGAATCTTCTTTTGTAACTTTTGCGTCTTGTTCTCTTACTCGGCAATCCGAATTATGATTTCATAGTATCAAATAAAACTTTTATATTTTGAACTCAGAAATAAATTTAAATAACCTAGTAAATAAAAATACTAATTTGTTAAAAAAGTATGTAAAAAGCGAAACTATGCGAAATAGTCTTGACTATAAATATAGCCTTAAGTGTATAAATCTGGATACCGCAGCAAATATCTTTTCCATCTGAACGACTTTTTTCATTAAAGATATGATCAAGAAGATAATGCTAAAATCTAGCATGCATATGCGTTTTCGAGATGGAATTGTAGCCGCTCCATGTTTTAAGAATATACCGAATGTAGGTGCACATCAATAATGATTAATGGGCTCTGAGCTCGACTAAAGTAAATTCTATGTGTGAGAATGAGCAAAGCTCAACAAAGAACTGTAAGTAAATGTGATATCGAATTACAGAAGCAAAAAAATTTGTGTGTTATTCACATATCAAAGATATACATTTCTTTAATAACTGGGTGTAGCTAGTGACTTTCAAGAACAAACAAACACATCTACATTTCAACCACTGCTTATAATAAATATGAATATTTTCCGAAGTTTCGTTTGTCTTTCCTCTTTGCAAGTGTAATATTACTCCGAACGAACTTTTACTTAGGAAATGAACATAAAGTACAATACGAAATCGAAATCACCCTACAAAACACCATGTGGCTAGCTGTGGTTCGTCATGGCGTATGAGTGATATTATTGTCAACATAAAAACTCGAAAGGTTTTATGGGAGGAAAGTGTGTGTCGGAGATTTTGTTAAAGCTCTGTTTTCCATTTCCTGTTACATTTATATGTTTATGCATTGCATATTTGCATTAGCTCAAAGGAGACCATATATATTATACATTTTCTGTTTTTTAATTAAAACAGTTAAAAATCACCAAAAATTTACCCGAAGGAGATAAAGGAAAGATGTTCAGTAAAACTGCTAGAAATACTTTGTTATTTGATTCCCATTTGCCAATGAAATTTCCGGTGGGAACACCAAAGCATGGCTACAAAGGAAATAAAATATAGTTGAAATATTTGAGTTGCTTTATCCAGTAGATACACACATGCTTTTTTTTATTTAAGTCGACGTTTTTATTTACTAATTAATTTCTACTAACTATTTAGACGTAGTTCTACAGTTTACTAAAAGCTTTTCTCTAGTGGTAAAAATATGAATGATTTATGTATATGTTATAGTTAAGAGACAATCGGTACCGTTTATGTCAAAGCTTACTCCTTTCTTGTGAATCCCAACGTGGATGTAGGGCTCCAGTCAACTCATAAATTCATCTGATTGTAAATCTGCTATGGCACAAACCTCAGTCTCTGTTATTTTGCCCAATTCGGCGCACTGGAGCGTCAATTCGCCTGCTCATTCGCACTTTATGAACGCTTTTATGGCTTTCGTTGACTTTCGTTTTCCAATTCATTGAATTTGATATTGTCATGCTGACGATTGCTGGCCTCATTCAACTTATTTTTGACTTTATTCAGAATTTTATGTGTGAGTTTATTTTTTGGTTTTTAAAAGTCAGCAAAATTTAATAGTCCGACTTTTACTCCTATAGTGAAATTCCTTATTTGTGCATTCGGAGAAAGTTTACGAGGAGAGCTATAAATATTTTACAGTTATTGAGAATTAATATTTGCTATTGTCGACTAGGCGGTAGAAAAAATCGTGAAATTGCGTTCGTATTCAATACCATGACCACCTATTTACTTTGAAAGAAATTTGATATTTTGAGCATCTATATACATAATATATTATAAGTTAAACTAATTTTTGAACATCTAGAGCCTCCAAAATGCTTATGCTTAATGCAGGTGAGTAATTCATACTTCTTACTTTCTTGCATGAAATTGATTTAAATGCATTAAGTTAAAATATTTTGTTTCGAAATCCAATTAAGTAAGACGGTAAATGAGACATTTAGAGACGATTTGATTATAGCTCAACTCAAGAGTTGACATGTTTTAAGTGGACGCGACTACGTTAATACTTTTTTCTTAATTCTATGGCAATGATTTTATACCTTTTCTTATGTACATATACCTCTCTCTGAGTGAGCTCTTTAATTACGGTAATCATTTAAGCACTCAATTGTTATTTCTTGTGTCTGGTTTTTAATTCACCTTATATCTTCTTGAACGCTTACAACTAGCGAATCCGATTGTTTGTTAAATGCAATTTAAATAAGTCCAAATAAAATAAAACCAAAAATAAAACAAATTAATATATATTTCACTAGATATCACATGCTCTCCGCCGCTTTACACTCGGGCAATAAAGTCATGAGTCTACCGTACCGGAATAAAGGTGATCGGTTGAGTGGATATAACGGTAATTGCGTAGCGTTACGTTAGCACTGATGAATGGTTATTCAAATAAGTGACGACAACGAAAATAGTTGCGCGTAAATCTATTACAGTTATTTGCTGTGCACTTGAAAAGTGCGTGCGAGGCAGCAATTAACACAACACTTAAATAAGTAAAAGGTAGAAATGGAATTTTATTAGTATATTGTACCTTATCTCCAGAGCTTAAAAATATGCCTTAAGTGATAAATCAGATAAGAAATTAAGTTTAATTTTAGGCTAAAAAAATAGTGATCAAATCGAAGATGGGATTTAGTATTTTTTAGCCCGGTACTTCTTTAACTTTAACGCCAGCTTATTTTAAAATTATTATATTCCTTATTTTACTGCGTTCTAAACTTATGGAGTCATAATAATTATTGTGTAACCTATTCTGTTTTCAGTACACCTAATGCCCGCTAACTGCTAATACTTGTAAGGGAGCCCCATAAAGGGTTTTTATCACTTTTTTGCTCATTCTGTGTCTTCCATAATGTTTTAATAATGTGCTGATATTTCTGTAGAGAGTGCGAACTACCACAACTTACTACTTTTATTTTAGTTAATATTCCGATTACCAGAATGTTGATATCCCATTGGCCTTTCGGTAGATAACGGGACATCTCCAAACGTGCTTCTACTATCGAAAAGTTTCCTAAGGCCTTCAAAAGCTGCTTTAATATATTTTCCTTATTTATATGTATATACCTACATATATAATACAAGGCTAATTTTTTTATCATTTTAAAATTCTTCTTACCATATTCCTTTCTAACATGCTCTCTGATTTACATTAACATCGCGTGCACTCACCTCTCTAACCAAATAATCGCGCAATAATTTAGATTTCCAAAAAATTTTAAAAGCTTTTAAATGTTTGCGGCTTCTGGGGTTAATTGAAATGGAAAGCTCATAAGTACATTCGTGGATAAATACAAATACAAATGGATTATTGAAAGTTATATGCGAATGTCAGTAAATAATAAGCAAATTGTGCCAACTTATTTCCTTTATCAACACTTGATAATAACTTTCAGAGTTCATCACATATTGCTGCCGTTTGTATATTCAAATATATAGTTATATAAAAGTATATGTACTGGTGCTGTTAATATGACAACTGGTGCTGCTCCACAGTGACATTAAAATAATTATTTTTATTAGAGAAAAGTTTGAGGATAAATTTTTTGTAATCGCGAAGGCACAAAGTTCTATAATTGAATTATGCCCGAATTGCCCTAGAATTAAGTGCTAAAAACAAAAATTAATAATAAAAAGTACACACATTTATTTTTCTTACGGTTAAACTTTTTAAGTAAATTATTTAGTTTTGTAAATCACGAAACGTTAGACCAGATACTGTTATTAGCATTAAGACAAAATCGCACGCATCAAGTAAGGTGCATGTAGAGGAGATTTGATTGTCCGATCTGCTTTATTTTAACTGTATTTCTATGAAACATCTGACAGTTGACATTTTGTAGGTCATTAATATGTAAAAACATCAGTTGCTTCTGTGAAGACAATACTGTCTAGGCTTGCCGTACATAAATGTTGCAATTTATTGATTTCGCCTGGCGGTTATTACATCTACGTGCTCCGGTTCGTGAGGTACTCCTGTATGTTTGTATGTTTCTAACTTTTTACTGCGCAAGCGATAATTTGAGTATAAATTGAGATATCTATGAAACTTGCTATATATGCTCCTTGGCACCCAAGATATGGCGGTATTGCAGATGGGCGTAATTGGACCACTGTCGCGCCAACAAAACGCCATTAAAAGAAAACCTTTAAAGTGCCGTAACTAAGCACTAAATTAAGATACCCGGATGGTTTGTGCCATATTTTTCGATTTTTCGAATATCGAGCATAGCACACTTTTCTAACAATTTTACAAGTATTTTTCAGTCACCTTTATTGTCAGTTATATTAAGATTAATTTTTTACTTTTTATTTTGAAGTGCTTTAAAAGCACGTTTTTTAAAGTTTTTTTTTTTAAACTATATTTATTGTTATTGATACTCATCAAAGGCTCGTAATGCTGCAATGGTTGTAATGTGTGCTTTATTACCCTTGCTGTGTTTCATTTCCTAGCACCGGATGTGTGTTTGGCACGCGAACATGAAATCGATTCGGCAAGTATTGTTCCGGTGGAGTTACAAATAAATTGCCAAAGAAAAACATGATCAATTGACAAGCATTGCAATTGTATTTGAACTCGTATTTTTTGATATTACTGTAAGTGCGTGCATATGTACATATGTACTCATATGTATGAATAATATAATATACAATATATACAATTACAAATTTGATATGGGTTTTTCAGGGAATGAAATTGGGTTCGCATATCGCAAAAGTGAGGTATTTTTGGTCTGTGTGTTTTCTTTTAAATTAAATAACACTAGAAATTTTCTAAATTTTCAAAATCGATAAGGATACTATCTGTAAAGTTGATCAAATTAACATTGATATATAAAAACAATACTTACTAAATCTTGTTTATATGCTGTAAATAATAGGCGATCCCTCAATTCCCGAAAAGTTAGACTCTTCCGCAAAAAAGAGTACATAAGCTCATTTAGTTTATTATAGCTACTTACACCACTTAAGACCACTTTATCGCCATCTAGTTTATATATGAGAATGATAGCTTCATTCTCTAGTGAATATGTGTTCCCTTAAGCGCCTTGACATCCTTTAACATCTTTGTAGTTAGATAAAAATAATTAACCATACCTTCGAAAATATTCTTAAAGTGTTTTGCTCACTTACAGCCGAACACTTGGGTGTTCTCAAGCGCACATAATTGTTGCGTTTAGAGTTGCAAACGCTTTCGACAAACACCACAAGTCAAAGTGGAGCTAACACTTTTTATACTCCGCAACCTGTTGCTACAGAGTATAATAGTTTTGTTCACCTAACGGTTGTTTGTATCACCTAAAATTAATCGAGTTAGATATAGGGTTATATATATAAATGATCAGGATGAAGAGACGAGTTGAAATCCGGGTGACTGTCTGTCCGTCCGTCCGTGCAAGCTCTAACTTGAGTAAAAATTGAGATATCTTTATGAAACTTGGTAGGCATGTTTCATGGTACCGTGAGACGGTTGGTATTGCAGATGGGCGTAATCGGACCACTGCCACGCCCACAAAACGCCATTATCAAAACAAATAACTTGCCATAACTAAGCTCAGCAATAAGATACAAGACTGTTATTTGTACACAGGATCACATTAGGGAGGGATCTGCAGTTAAAATTTTTAAAAGTGGGCGTGGTCCCGCCTCTAATAGGTTTAATGTGCATATCTCCTAAACCGCTAATGCTATAATAACAAAATTCACTGGAAGCAAATGTTTTAGCACTTCTATTGACGGTGTGAAAATAGTTGAAATCGGGTGGCAACTCCGCCCACTCCCCATATAACGGTACTGTTAAAAACTACTAAAAGCGCGATAAATCAAGCACTAAACACGCCAGAGACATTAAATTTTATCTCTGAGATGGTATAAGATGAATTTATAGGAACCGCGTTCAAAATTAGACAGTGGGCGTGGCACAGCCCACTTTTAGGTGAAAACCCATATCTTGAGATCTGCTTAACCGATTTCAACCAAATTCGGTGCATAACGTTCTTTTCATGTTTCTATGTCATAGTGCGAAAATGGGTGAAATCGGATTACAACCACGCCTATTTTCCATATGACACCATTTTAAATACCACTTGATACCATTTGACTTTGCGAGAGTATAAAATGTTCGGTTACATCCGAACTTAGCCCTTCCTTACTTGTTATATATATCGACGTTCAATTATTTACTGATCTGCTGTGAAGAGCGAAATCAGCACGACAATTGTGCAAATAACGCTTTCCATAAGCTCCATTGACACAAATCCATATAAGTATATACAAGTGGCATCAGCAGCTGTGCAAATGTCCTTAAGTAAGTAGCAAGTATTCTTAGCAGTTGAGTAAATATACTTAGATGCAATACTTTGATTTGTTTAAGCAAATAATATTCTTACTTGCGCTATGCTAGATAGAATGTGTGGTAATGTATACATTGTTGATTTCCTCTTTACTCCTTATAATAATATTTTAAAATATTTAGTTATCCTTAAAGTATTGTGTGATTAGTAATGCGTGGGACCTGGCGCTGTGCTTAGTGATAGGTTGGAGTGATCCTGTTATTTGTTCTATGTTGCTTGATATCTTCGGAATGTCATTTGCTTCATCAAAATATCTTTTTAAAGTTCTTCGCCATTTGACAAGACCACTATCTTCTTTTTTCACCATCAGCAAAATTGTATTATAATTCAAAACTCTTTTTGAACCGAATCTAGTCCATCGTAAGCGATTCATTTTCGAAAAATTTAAGTTGATTATAACTCCCTTTGACTCTTACTTCAATCCTATTGTAGGATTTCTTTCGTTATTTTTCCCCCATCAACTGTGCTTGGCCCGGAATAATATTCAATCTTAGAAGACTTACAGTCCTTAACGCTCGTTATTATATTGTAATAAGGAATTTGATAAGTCAAAAAGGCAGGTCGCAAGAGCACCTATCCGCAACCGCTATCGATCCGAAAGCGCTCATTAGGGCCATTGCACTGCAAGAATTATCAACAAAATGAATTGGACATCCATTTTGAGGCTAACAGGAGGTAATCCCGGTAATTTGTAATTTTGGATACAGAAAAATTAAAAAAAAAAAACAGCTTATTAGAATTTTTTCCTTTCGCTGCTCACCAATAAAATAAAGAACCGTAACCATGGACACTTCAAACACTCTCTCTCATTATTGAATGATGGCTTGATGAATGATGATTTGAAGCTTTTATGATGTTAATAGCCCCTCTTTTCAAACTCGACTAGTTAAACTCTACTCAAACGCCTTCATTTTCAATAAAAACGAGCTTATTATAGAAAATGTGTAACTTACCTGAAAAGCAACGTGATTCCAGATTCTCTCATGCGATGAAAAGCCACATGCTGCGTAATTGCGTCCTTTGAAATAGTATAGTTGAACGGAGTGCGATAACGCCACGGCTATGGCTGATATTACAATGGTCACCTGCAAAAAAAAAAATTATTAATGAAATTTTCTGTCTCCTAACATCAAGTGCAATGAGCAATATTTATGTTAATTTAAATATTATACTCACAGAATCGCATTGCGTTCGGTTTGCAAGGACATACTCGTGACCGGATGTACGACAGCCAAAAAACGATCAAGAGACATCAGCAGCAGCAAGTAGACACTGTCAAGACAGGTGATTACAATCATGTATTGCACAAATTTGCATCACAAGTTGCCGAAGGCTACTCTTGCAACACGTAATCAGTTTTGCCGTAAGGGGCACACAAAAGATGAAAAAGATTATATCCGAAATTGTCAGGTTGGTTGGTTAGCGACGACCACTGAAATCAAATAGAAATGAATTTATTATAATAAAAATTATTATGCTATCTCATAGTTGTTTGTATTAGAGTTTTATTCTTTTTTATTCTTTTTAATATATGTAGTCAAATGTGATTTGTTTTAAAGTAGGTTGACCCTTAATAAAAAGGACTTTTTCTCTTTCCGTAATCTATGCATAATGTACAAACACATCCCATATACAAAGATTGGTTGTAAGCGATTAAGGTTAAGACATGTCAAAGGTCAAAATTCATATATATAATTCTTTCTTTTGATATTGGTATTGGTGCGACAAGATTCGAATAAATAAATTTTAATCTAAATATATTAGAGTTGGTTAGAATAATCTAAACTTTAGCATATGCCACGTCTTAGCTGTCTCTAACTGATGCCTATTGCTCATTCTCAGCACTTTCCTCCTAAATTCTTCATTCTTAACTTCTTTGGAAATTGTTGTAATTTACCATTTTACAAATCAATAGTCTTAAGGCACTCATTGAGAGCTATTGTAATTCGTAGAAAATCTACTCTTTCCATTTCTTAATATATAGTTAAAAGATACTATAATATGTTTATGAATTTTTGGATCATTAAATTTAAAAGTTTTCTCAGAAAAACTTCTGGAAAATTCACTTTTATCCGGCCTTCTAACTGTATATAACCCCTTAACTAACTAATTAACGCTCTATTCTTCCCAGAGCTGAACATGTAGTTAAGACTACACGTTTACTAAGCCAACTTCACTACAGCGGTAGGTTTTGTAAGTCGCCAGTTTCTGCTTGATTTCGTAAATTAATTTCACTTTCAAGCTAATGTGATTTCCTGGCACAACAATGGCATGTTAGCAATGCTACGCTTTCAGACACTTACTTAATTGGAGGAAATGACAGCACCACGAACTACTTCAATATTGCATTCACGGGATAACAAAATTGTATACCACTGATAATTGTCTATTTTTGTCTAGTCGTACGTAGGTTTCTATATTTGCGATAATAAGGGAACATTATAAAGCTTTGTCGGGTGACTATTCTTTAATGTTAATATAGTGAATTCTATTGTGCTTATCTACATATTTAATCGTGATTGACAGAAACTATACTTGCATTTTAAGCCATCGCTACTCCCTTTGCAACCAACCAACCTACTCACCAACTAAACCATTCATTATTTTGATAGTTTTAGACATTTTGTGATAAGAAAGGAACTACATACTATTATTTCATACTATTGTACATACATATAAAGTATACGGTCTAGTCAAAAGAAATCCATTATTTGTCGTATGTATAGATAGCTTAAGTAATCTATCTCGCCTTGTAGAAGTGCGTTAGGGTTATGCTGTACGGCGTTAGAAAGATAAGATGTGTTTACAAAAATACTCCTTAGAAAGTTAGTTTATTGTTGGACTCAGTATCGTTTGAGCACTGGTCAGAGACGCACACCAGCAAAAAGATAATACGCCATATGTCATAGTTTTTCTTCGCTAATGTTTGTGTTCGCATCGCAACGAGAGAGTGGTTTTAGTAGGATTGGCTTCGAATCATCTCTCTACGTCAAACTCTGCGAAATGCGAACCAGTAATGCCACCAATGAAAGGTTGAATGATTCAGCTGGTAAAACCGACTGTCCCAAATTTTTGCCAATAGAGACGAGGAAATTGTCCTCAAAATGGCCGCAAGTTATCGTACAAAGTGGATCATTCTAACTATACCATACAAAATACTCAATTTAATGTAAAAGTAATGGACTTATTTTTACCACATCTTATATTAAAAATTAGGAATTAAAAGATGTAAATATCTCTCTCCGTCGACAACTTCGAAGTATTAAATAGCTGACCGTTACATGGGAAATAGATAACAAGTGAAACTTTAAATGGAAGCTAAAACAAAAGATGCAAACTTCTATCTCAAAACAGTGATCTTCAATAATTTTTCTCAGCATCTGGTGATTAAGCTCGCGGAGAGTTTTTGAGACAAGTTTGGTATAGGATTTATCAATTTTCATAGAAAAGAGACGAATTTGTTATTAAATAAAAAGGTAAATACTAAAAATCTGCTGGTAATTTTTATATAAGTAACAGCTATGGAAACGACTTGTTTCCGAAATTGTATCTGCTGCTTGCTGTCAGCTCGTTTTTTATGGTGAATTCGATTTTCCTAGCGAACCCACAAAAAGTGACATGCCATATGCTATCTGAGTGACAAATCATCAGCACCATTGCAAACAAATTCAGCAGAGTTTGAACAATACGTAGCCTTTTTCGAGAGTGCTTAGAGAGAATAAAACGCTTACTTTAAAGCTTACTTTTCCGTTGACGATTTGTGTTTGGGATTATTTGCGTCCTCGAATACATACACACAAACCGGCTTGTTTCAATAAAGTTTTGACATGCGTTCGAACTTTTTGCTTTGATATAAGCTGTTACACAGCTATCGCATGACACAAAAAAATATATATGGCTATATGTTTGTAAATATACAAGTATATCGCATACAAATTACAATAGTGCAAATCAAGCTAAGCCATGTCAGAGTTGTGGCTAACAAATCCCACAGATCATCCGTTGCATGTAAACAAATTATTCCATGTCTATATACTGTATTCATATATACTTCATGTATGTAGTAGCTATATAAATATATTGATACAATTTAAATAAATTAAGGCATTCACTCACAACTCTTCGGTTTCCCTTTGTAAAAAACTCAATTTACTTAGAACCCTTTTGCAAATTTAGTTAAATACAATGAAAACAAACTTGTGAAACATTTAAGTTAAAGCAACCCCTTCAACATTCATACCAACCGACTACAGGCGCAAGTATTATATATTATATGTACGACATGTGTGTATTACTAAGCATTTCTAGGTGATTCTCTCGGCGTAATTGTCACATCAACAGAAATCGCACGAACACAAATGGACCGTTGTAAGTGTGAAAGCAAACTGAAAGGAAGTGGCGCACCAAAATGCTGTATAATTTTAACAATACAAAATACATATGAGTAGGTGAGAGCCGAATAGAAATGTGGGTGCCTACAGTCTCTGTAATATAAATGAAACGTATACGGTTCCAAACATATGCTCAAATATATTATTGGATTCTTCTCAACGAAGTATTCTGGGATTTTACTTTGCTAGAGTGTGATTCCTACAATAAAAGTTCGATTTGTGGCTTTCATCGGACTTCATTAGATCTCCAACTGACTCTATGTCGCTTTAACCGGTATTTAATGATACTGCATTCATTGTGCACCTCAGCCGTTATCACCGCTTATACAGACTAGCACCTTTTATGGTGGATAAATTCCTACTTCCTATTCCTGCATGTATTCTTTATAGCAACGAGATTAGATGTTCTGAATTTTAGAAAAACGGTGGTATAGAGCCTAGCTAAGCTTACACTCAATTACCCTCGAAATCAGCTGAGCCAAATAATTGATTTAAAAAAGTGACATGTGAAAAATTAAATAAAATTTCCCGATTTATGAAGCTGCAACTGTACAAATGTGAGAGCAAGTCTGTATTAAGTACCAGGCTAGTCGACATTTCATGGAGTACAAGCAATTGCAAGACAAAATAAATATAATAAGAAAGGATATTGCAAAGAGAAAAAAATATTACCGAATAACCTTGACTTCTCACGTGCTACCAAACTAGCGTGAGTGCTCGAAAAAACCCTGTAAGTCGGTTGCTGTATCATCCTATTTACCTACCCAATCACATATGGTACATATAAGCTCCTAAGTATGCCTCACTTGCTGATAGTCATACAGGCCGTACTATACGTGCTCGTTTCTTGCTTGACTACTTGTAGAGGCTACATTTCAAGAGCATTCAATGTCGGCACGCTAGCACATGCCTTAGCACTTTTGCTTTATTTTCATACCTGCGTTTTACGTAAGCGTAAGCAATTTTATTTCACATATTATACTGCAACATTCGTTTTCATTGCCGACCAACACTGATTGAGAACGAAAGAAATTTAATGTGTGGGGCAAAGGCTGATAATTCTGTTGCACTCTATGACATTTTTCCAAGTTGTTTCTTAAAAATAACCAACGGCGTTATGTTGGAGGAAAACGTTCAAAGTGAAAACCTTTGATTAAGGCTGAGACATGCTACTGCTTGAAAAGTGGCGCTAAAAACTGATTTTAAAACAATTGTCAATTGAAAGCGCGATACCGCTATTTATAAATGAATAAACGTCAATTGCCATTGAGGGTGATTTCCCGACATTAGCGGAGACCTTGCATTTTTTCGATGTAATTTTTGTAGTTCATCATCGTAATTTTTGTAGCTCATCGGTGAATTTATTTTAGCGAACATTAACATGAGTTTCGAAAACAGGAAAAGTCTCTGTGAGGCGGATAATACCAGGTATGTGGAAGTCGTTCGAAGCTTATCTAATTTTTCCATCGATTTTATTCGTCGTTGGTTACTTTCATGCTTTCGCATCCAAATATTTATGAACTATATCTTCAAATATTCCTGTGACATCTTTATACTGTCAGCCCCCCCCAAACAGTTTTAATTTATGGTAACTTCAAATGATTTTGTAGATTTTTTTGACATTTCTGACCATAACCGCCGTTTGATATTACTAGATTCATGGTCTAAAAAGTAACTTAACAAAACTGGAAAATATTACGAATTTGAAAAAAACACTTGAACATTTGGTTATACGAAATAGGTGTGCGACTTTGATAACATATATAAGAAAGCGCCTAATTATAGGCAATCTAAGTAAATATTGTCATAATGACAATTAAATAATAAAATTTATTTATTTAGTGGTTTTAAAAATTTTTTTTTTCCAATTAAATAATATGTTCTGTGTAGTATATAAATTAATGTTGTATTGACATCGGATAATTCTACAAATACAGTAGAAAAAACGCAAGGTATTTTTTGGTTTAAATATAAAAGTGACTCTCAGCGCTTCTGATAATGAAATATACGATTTTTAAACCGTCGGAGCGTGGCAACATATTTCACTGATTTTGTCATAAATGCTGGCTCTCAAATTATGTGTATGCAACCGCAAACCCATTAAGCAGTTATCTCACACACCCACTGTTTACACTCATTTGTTAAATATACAAACATACGTGTACATAAATATAAGTGTTTGCGAAGTCAGTTATCCAAATGAGCACAAACAAATATATTCAGCGCACACACACATCCGCAAATACAAAATGTGGCACATATTCGATTTTCATTATTTAACTCACCCTAAATGACGTGCGCATTCTCCAACAAACCCGCCAGTCCAATGATGCCGAAAAATAAGTTCCCAATGTTTGAGACAACGCGCTTCAATGGATCCATTTCGAAATCAAATACACCATCTCGTTGCAAATAGTAATTTCCATCATAACCCACCGCTGCGCCATCTTGTCCAGGGAATCCGGTGAAGCTTGCCCCAATGTCCACGCCATTGTCCATGGTCGCATTAAAGTAATGCATTGGAATGTGTAGTTGTTGGTTTAACTGGGCGGGAAAAGTCCCGGCAACAACGCCATTGTCGAGCGTGCACCGAACGATGCCATCAGCCCGACCATAACGGACGTCGTCTGACTTAGTGTCGCGCCCACGCTCTGATTGTGCAGCATATTTTGGTTACTCTTGTATTCCTCGTATTATTATCAAGCTTTGTTTGTTTTGTTCTAAAAAGTAATGCCAAAATCTGCCTAGGGGTATTTAGTGGGGGTGCGTTGGATCGCTGGAACTCAATGTTTAGTTTGTTGTGTGTTTCCTATCGTGCCAGCGTTATGACTAGAGCTGATAATGAGGACAAATTGCGAGAGTATCTGTGATATGTAAATTTTCTTCGGCTTTTGTTATCCAATCTTACTTTCTATGAAGAAAAGAAGTGGGAGAAAACATTAAATAAAATTAATCTTCTGTTAAGAGGCATAAAATCGTGCAATGAATAAAATATAATTTTTTTTAAACATAAATTTCTAATAAATACAATTGACTTTCGCTGTTCCGTTAAAGGTTGATTTAAGCGATAACAATAAATTTCGCTGGAGATTAACGGAACACGTTCATTTATAATTAGTTATATGAAATATAGGGAATAGGGAAATATGTCAAGGAAAAATAATAATTTTGGGCTAATACTCAGCGGGGATGAAGAAAATAATATATTGCATCTCAGTTTATTGTTTAATATTTATGTCTGTAAGAGATGAAAAATGAATCAATACAAGTGACGAGTTATTGTAATTTACATACTCATAAGCTGAAAAGTTTTGGAATCACGTTTTTCTGAATGTAAATATAGCTTTATTCTCTAATATAAGCTTCCTCTCTATCCCTCAAAATAGGTGCTTTTTTCAACTTCAGCTTTCCATTTGAGTTGAATATTTTTATAGCGAGGCACTTTTTAAGTTTAAGATAGAGGAAATAGGCGCCGGGGTCAAATCTGTCTAATGAGGTGGTAGGAGGCCAGTTAGTAGCGTGATACCAACCATAAATTCAACGGTCGCTTACAAAGCTCAGTGATCCCATTTATTAAACCAATACTTGGGTGTTGAATATATTACGCAATCTTTTCGTAACACTCAAGCCATTGCTTTGTTACAATTTTGTTTTAAATTTTATCAAAACCCAAAAAGAACAAAACTATACACTCTGTAGCAACATGTTGCGTTAATATTTTATAAATAACTGCCTTAATATACTGGGCTTCATATTAATACGAATCGTTATGTTATTACGGTTTCACAGCAAAAAGAGAGTGGGAATATGTCATTTGAAATAATTAAATTGTAAAATGAACAAGCTGCGGATTTAATTGTGATTTTGAGTGGCTCTTATTGACATACATTTCTGTGAAATGATTGACATTTTACGAGTTTTTCACATAAGCGGGTGTTAATTTAATTGCTTGCTGCCTCATTGTCTGCAACAGTTTAGCTCAGCTGTCATTCCGATGTAATAATTTCAGCGATTCCAATTAGTTAGCTTCCTTTCATTGTGCGCGTTTGCTCCGATGACAGCTGAGCTTATTGCTTTCACATTTTTTTGTGGCTCTCTTACTATATAACACAATACGTAGCATGTAACATGTACTTGTAATATCATTGTAAATGTATGGGGGTATATGCATATTACCATTAATTATTATTATTATATACATATACATTATTAAGGCGCATTTGTTGTTTGAATATCCACATTTGTGTTAGTACCGCACTGGAAATTGCTGTAGAATTACTTTTTACAGAAAATGTTTAATTCGTAATTATACAAGTATTTTGAACTGCGAGATTTAGCATTAATTTTCTGTGGTTGATCTTTATCAATATATCTTGTTTAAAATGAATATTATAGAAGCTAAGTAAAGGCATTGAATATTGCGTTAAATTCATAGCTAGGAGTCTGTTGTCTAGCATAGGTTTCAGTTTAATCAAACAGGCAGTAAAAGATGCACTTCTCTAATTTAAGCAAATCAAAATATTATAATAAAGAAAAGTTAACATCAACATTCAACAAATTAATAAAACATTTCTTCCGACTGCTTTGAATCCTTCAAATAAAGATTCACTCGAATAAATTAAAAATTCGCACAACGTAAATTATGTTGTACCCTTAGTATTTTTGCATACATTTCTTATGCTCTTTGTTGTTGTTTAAATAAATAAAGGTACACGGAAATCGCCCCAAAGCGATGTGCGGCAAACATTTAAAAATAATATCTTGTAAAATATTGCATGTGATATACTTTTTAGTTACACATCTTTGAGTTTGGCTGCTTTCCCCCTTTCGTGCTTTTTGCCTAAATTCCGCCAACAAATATTTGCACAACCGTATTACTAAAAAAATCTAGGTTCAGTGTAGATATTTTTGTAGATTTATTTTCTTTTATATGTTTGCAACTGTTTGCTGTTAGGCTGTTTTGTGTTTTTATAGAAATAATACGAAGTGTTCAAAGGAAATGCCTCACTATTTGTGGCCTTTCCCAAGTCTTTATATCTATATACAAACTTCCTCGCTTTTGTCGCACTTGTATGAAAATACACCAAATGGTTTTGGATGACCGTTAAAAGAAAATGGTCGAGGTATCTGTCACTCTAACAGTATGTAAGTAGTGGGTTAGATTAATATTGAGGGATATTGATTATACTGCGACCTGTGTTCGATTGGGCCCTAAAAAATTTGGAAAAAATATAATTTAAGAATATAGGAGTTAACTATTGCTCAGTGCCAAATGAACTTTTTAAATGACTAATTCATCATAGTTCAAATCAAGGAAATTATAGAAAAAATGCAAAAATTATGCTTCGAACGCATTCTTCAGGATCTGGTCTTTCGCGATTTTTTCGTGTTCTTAGACAACATAAGAAAACGTACAACGAAATGATATAAAAAAGCTGGAATTTCGGTAAAGTATTTATATAATTTCGATATAATATATATATATATATATATATAATATGTAGGTGCTACGTCATTCATGGCAACTATGTTGAATACATCGATAGAATTTTATTAAACTAATATGTTTCTATTTTTAGTTAGGTTTTATTATTATTAACTTTTTGTTCCGCCAATATTGTGGAAAACTGGTATCTACCTGAAAAATTATTCCACATTAATTTAATGAGGCTTTCTTGCTTATCACAGTGGCCAGTTGCATTTACTATATGACTAAATTAGCTACACTCATTGATATACGGTTCCACACTGATATACTGTGCTGAAACATAAATTAACGTGTACACGACTGCCCACATTCACTCTCATTAACATAATAGTGGCAAGCATATTGTGTGCCGAGCACTAACTTAATTATTGCAGCTAGGTGCAATATGAGTGGGAAGCATAATGAAGTATTGTAGCTGGAAATATGGAAATTTTAGTCTGAGCGTAAAATTTTCAGCTAACTCATTTAACAATTCTGTTAATTGCAATGCTAATTATAAGCGCACAATAAATTAGGCAACAGTGGTGTGTAGGAAATATTATTTTTTTTTTTATTATTTATAATAAAAGAACAGCAAATAACATTTTGATTGATATTGATGTGGAGAATTATGATCAGAGTCGAAAATTAATTAAAAATATCTTAACCCAGATTCGGATTCCATCTACATACTTTTCAAAACGTATCTATATTAGCTCGAGTATAGTCTTCCTACAACAATAGTATACCAAAATTTACATTAAGAGTGGATATCAACTATCCGCAGACAGCTGAGTTGACATTCAGCTTTTTATGTAAGAGTATATTAAACATTATCATCAACAATTTCCAAAATGTCTAAATCAGAAATCTAATCTTGAGCAGTTGCCTACAATATTTTGCGAATCTTGGTGTATGATTAAATTGAATATATTTAAGTAAAATTTGATATTTTGTTATAATCTTGTTACAAAATTAATCGAGTTAAATATAGGGTTATATACATATATATAAATATGTCAGGATGAAGAGACGAGTTGAAACACGGGTGACTGCCTATCCGTCCGGTCGTCCATCTTTGTAAGCTGCAAGCACTCTCATTAACATAATAGTGGCAAGCAAATTGTGTGCCGAGCACTAACTTAATTATTGCAGCTACGTACAAAATGAGTAGGAAGCATAATGAAGTGACCTTTGGTGCTGCTGAAATATTATTGTAGTTGGAAATATGGAAATTTGAGTCAAAGTGCATAATTTTCAACTAACTCATGTCATAATTGTAGGAACTGTAATTCAAAGTATGTGCACACCTTAAATTAAACAGCGGTTGCATATTTACACATATCATACAAGTATTCGTTATTACAAATTCTGAAAATATCAAAAAGGGTTTGGTGAATAACACTAACAATGATATTGATGTGGAAAAATAAAAATGTTTGGAAGGTAGCATGGAGAGTCATTTAACCGTTTTTCGCCTCTACGACTGCTTATACATGTTGTGCGTAAGTTGAAAATGTGCCTCATATGATCCAATATTTTCTTACTTCGATAGGTAGTTTGACAACTATCCCTATAGGACATTAGATCCTTGCAAGAAAGTTTGGTTATTATAGTCATTATATAAACGATCCGCATGACGAGCTATGTCGATTTAGCCATGTCCGTCTGTCTGCCCGCCTATTCATCAATTTTTGAGACAACGATCTGAAATTTTGCACACGTTATTTTCTGTCGAGTTGTCGTTATCGAACAACTATAGCATATAGCTGCATACAAACTGACCGAGCCAACTCAAGTCCTTGTATGGAAAACTTTTTTATTTAACAAGCTATCTTCATGCAATTTGGCACATGTTATAATCTCAGGCATCTTTATAATTTCCGAATATATTTTTCAGATCGGACCACCATAGCATATTAGCTGTCAACCAACCGATCAAAATCAAGAAAGATATATTGTTAAACCCTTTTATGCTATAAAAAAATTGTAGCTTCGGTGCAGCCGAAGTTGACGTTTTTTCTTGTTTTATTTTATAAATATATTTTAAAGTAATGTTTGATTATGCTAGATATCTGGTAATCCAAAAGCATAATCTCTCATCTCGGGTTTGAAAAAATTAGTTTAAAAAGGCTAAAAACTCTTCTAAGATACTCAAAAATCAACATCTCTGCTATGTTACATATTGATGTATTGGTCTCAACGATTTCTTTTAAAGAACTTGTAGCATGGTCTTGGTTTCAAAAAAACTTTTTTCTAAATAATTCGAATTGTCAGTGCCAACTTTGCATATAAATGCATACATACAAATGTATGTGTTCAAAAATGTGTTTGTGTGATAAATCTAATAATTCGCATGCGTGCCTGTGTCTTCAAGTGCTTCTGCTTTGTTGCGAATTCAGTTGCAACTGAAATAACAATTAATGGTAAACCAAGCTATCATA